CTGTTCTATGGGTATGGCCTTTTCTCAGATCTGGGAAAACTGGGAGGAGACAGTGAATTTTAGTAGTTATAATTTAAAAATTCAAATTTGAAATGACTATACAGGAATAAACATAAAGTTGCATTATTTTCCAATGTACAAAGGCCAATGAGCAAGGGATCACGTGTACTCTGGCATGGTGGCGCGTCCACCCAGAAAAAGGTACTTGTTTTTACAATTTTTAGAAAGGGGTTCAATAAGTGAATGGGATAAATAGAATGAGAAATGAGAGATAAGGCAGAAATTTCTGACAAGTACTTACTCAAAATTGCACTTTGAAAGCTCAAAGTTATCTATCCTCCTTCATTCTGGTACCTCACCACACATGGGAAGTGGTGAAGACATCTTTCCTTCCTGAGTCAGGCTTTTGTTTTGTATCTAAACATGGATACAAAATATCCATGTTTATAATTGTAGGTAGATTATTTTAAATCTAAAGAGTGTTTGGGGACTATTTGGTTGACACATAATTCTTCAATTGAATAATCAGAGATGAAGAAAAGTTAATATTCCCCCCCCCCCCCCCCCAAAAAAAAAAAAATCAGAGATTTAAAACTGAAAGTTTCTTGTTCACTCCATGTATTTGATAAGAGGCTATACTTACCATATTGTCTGTTAAAGACTCAGGCTTGACTGGACAGAGGAAGGGAAATTGGTGAATGTTATCCTGGCTTTTCAAACCTTCAACATAAGAGCTGAGTGCAGTGGTACACATTTGTAATCCCACGCTCTGGAAGTTGAGGCAGGAGGATCACAAGATCAAAGCCAGCCTCAGCAACTTAGCAAGGCCCTAAGCTATTTAGTGAGACCCTGTCTCAAAAAATAAAAAGGGATGGGGGTATGGCTTAGTGGTTAAGTACCTTGGGTTCAGTCTCTGGTACCCTAGTGGTAAGGGCCCCCCAGTTCAATCCCTAGTATCAAAACAAAAAATAAAAAAGCAAACCTTCAACATAGGTGTGTAGCACATTATCACTTCTGCTTTTTTTCACTTGTAAAAACAAAGAGGATAGTTTAATAGAGTCCTGACATGTCCACAAAACCATAATTGTCATATTTATGAAAAGCCCTAATGACTACTAAATCAGATTAGTGCATGTTCCTGATTGCTTGTACCCATATTCAAATATGGGTTCAAGAACTTTCTCCAAAATCAACTACCAAGTATTTGAATGATATACTTCTTTAAAAAAAATCTCCATGTGCTAATGTAGATACATAGAAACTGGCTTACTTCTTTTTGGTCAACAAAATTACCAGTTATGAGAAAAAAAATATCACTTGATAATATGAAAAATTTAAAAAGGTTTGATGCACGCAGAGTTTAAATCATATAAAATTTTTTATTATACAGGATTTCTAAAGGAATTCTTTCAGACTATTTTAGAAAGGAGATTTAGGGTGAAAAACAGGCTGAGAAAGAGGGATGGCCCTAAATTTCTGATTTCTACCTATTCTTACAATTAAAAAAAATTTCCTAATTCTTTCAAGTGGGCACTTCTCAAAATGCTTGTCTGAAACAAAAGTGCTACTGCCAGAATGAAATCAAGTTTGTTTGTTTGTTTTTTCAAGGAAGTTCATGTGAAGTAAAATAAAATTAGATGGACTAAACAGCATGGTCAGAGACAGTTGAGTTAAATTTAAGCACAGATTTCTAATCTTACCTAGTTTTTTTTTTTTTTTTTTTAACAATTCACATTTGGTCAGAGACTCTAATTTAGCCAATTTTCTGGGGAAAAAATTTTGTTCATAAAACATTGAAATATACATAGGACTAGGATTTGCTCTTTTTAGGTAATAACATACTGGTTTCAATAATCCTTTCAATAAATGTTCAGTAAATTATAGATGCAGGATATATGAATAAGTAAAGGCCTCTCTAATCTCAGAAAGATAAGACAGTATGAGAAATTGGCAAGAAAAGTTAATTCTGGTACATGTTTAAGTTAATTACCAAGCTGTAAAAAGATATTGGAGACTTACATGTAGTGTGATAGGGATAATGGGGAGAAATAAGCAGGGACAACCCTTACAGAAAAGATGGCATCCAGGCTAAATTAAGATATGGCGCATAAAATTTATATTTTATTTGGCCAGTGTGAGGCTGACACTGTAGGGGCATGACTGAAGGCCATCATTTAGGCTGGAGTTTTACTCTGGAAAATATCTGCATTTTAGCACCATCAACTCTGGCACCACTTTTAAACATTTAAGTCTGATGTGCCTGTTGGCAGCAACAAGTAATTAGAAATACCATCTCAGAATGGCTTTGGAATCAACTTGAATGATTCAATCACATCCGCTTCATTTCCTCTACCTCACCTGTATTTTAATTGTTAAATACTCTTTAGCAAGAACTGAAAAAAATTTAGACTTCTTTTTTGATATTCACAACTACTCTGGGTTGTTGTGACTCTTATTTGAAATATGAGCAAATTGTGAGAAAGATTGGAGAGTTGTCAAGCCAGGTTTTAAATCCAAGCAAGTCTTAACCCTGAGCCTACATTCTTAACCTCTATTTTATTCACTATAGCAATGTGTGGGACTTTTTCTTTTTCTCCTTCAGGTGGTTATAGCTTAATTATGTAAAAAAAAATATATATATATATATATATATATATATATAGTGGCTTCTCTTAAAAACCAATTGTGGGTTCTAACCATATTCCTATTCAATAATAGAGTCAGAGAAGCACCTGCAAAAAACACAGCTAGTTTATATGGTCTTCCTTACACTGGGTTTATCTAATGGAGTTTCCAGGATAATATGAATTTTTTGAGCACTGTGAATTTTGCAAATTCAAGCTTTGTTGGCTTAATTTTGTAAAAACCAGTGTAGTGAAATATTAGAAAAATGAATTCAAGTCAGCACTTTAAAAATCCAGTTTCTATTAAAGTATCAGATTATAAAAATGAACTAGTCATTGCTATGTGAAATTATTACAACTGGGCAAGTTCAAACATTTGTTCAGGCATTATTCTGGCTATTTCTGTGAAGACATTTTTTGAATATTACCATTTAGACTTGTGAACTCGAGAAAATCTGATTATTGTCTGGGTTAAGTATACCATTGGTTGCAGGTCTTAAAGCACTGATTGACCACCATGCCATGAATTCTGCCATCAGTCTGCCCATGGGTTCTTCTCTACACCTCCAGCTTACAGGTATACCCAATTAGATTTTGGACTCACTAATCCCCCACAATTCCCTAATTGATTCCTTAAAATGGGTTTTTCTATAAATGCATCATATGGATTATTTCTCTGGAGAACCCTAATTTACAAACTAAACAGTTGCTTGGTCTCCTTTTTGATTTTTGTACTTTGGCACTCAGAACCAGTTTGTTGAAACCCTTGTATGACAATGGGGCAAACTGTTTCTATTCTAGGACAGCCAGAAAATTTTCTCAAGAATATCCCTCAAATAATTGTCTACCTAGACCTACTATCAAATATGCTTCCTTGTTCCCTAATTTAAGCCATAAGATTGTATTCACTTAGGATTTATCAGAAATTAAAATGTTTTATATAGCCCATTGAATTCCAAAACAATCTCAAGAGGTAAACTCTATTCCCATTTCCTCCAAGAAAACTGAGACAGCTAAATTTAAAATTTTTGGGGGGCAAAGATTTGAACCCAAAGTTCAAAGTCATTTTATGAACCCTACACTTTTGCTTTCATTTTTTTTCAAAGATAGAAAACCTGGGCTGGGGTTGTGGCTCAATGGTAGAGAACTTGCCTAGCATGTGTGAGGCACTGAGTTAGATTCTCAGCACCTCATATAAAATAAAAAAAGTCCATCAAAAAACATGTGTGTGCATATATATATATATATATATAAAATCTCCAAATATGATTTTTTTTAAAAAAAGGAAACTTTAATATTCCACAGATAAACTCAGTAAGGTTGAGAATGGATTCATCACTGGGTAATAAAAAGCCATGAAATATAAATGCAAGGAATTCTGGGGCAAAGTTATATAGATTAAAGCTGCATCCTTATTTATGCAGTGCCAGATGGCTATGAAAGAAGCTAACAGTATCCCTAGCACATAAAATGAGAGAAAAAAGAAAAGGTTCTAGCAAATAGGTAGTTTCATAGTGGGGCCCTATAGGAAATCTAATATTATGAGGATTAGTCTAGGTAGCTATTTTGCTCTATGAAGAAATGCAAAATCAGTTAAGATTAATTTTAAGAATCAAAAAATATAGTTTTATGAGGATTTTTTAAAAAATGGCTTAAAAACAGAGCAGCACCCTCAACCCAAACATCTGAAAGCCAAACAAGACTACCAGTTTGCAATCTTTTTACAGTATTCTTCTCTAACACCAATGGTATTTGAATAGTGAACAAATCAGGATTAAAATGTTCAGTAGCTAATTACTGTCCCTTGTCAACTACAAAACCATAGAAACTAAGTTACATTTCCTCCATTATGCCTTATGTTGTTACATTTAATTTTAAGTATTTTACTTTTATTCAATAAGTACAATTATCAAGACTAAAATTTAAGTTTTAGGTCTAGAAAAAAAATTAAGCTCTCAAACTCTTAACCAATCAGAACTTTTATCTGTACACACTACTGTTTTTGCTCATGATCAACTATGCCCCATTAAAAAAATAATTAAATTGTTATTACAGGACAATCAAGGTCAAATTTTGGTTACACTTTTATGACATAAGTAACCAAAAGGCCATTGTCCGTAATAAAAAAAAAAAAAATTAAACAAAAACCTGATAATTTAAGAAAGAGTATGGCAACAGGTTTTATTTTTTTGCTGGTACTTGGGATCAAACCCAGGGGCCTCACATGGCACTCTTCCATTAAGTCACATCTCCAGACTTAAACAAGCTATCATACATAGTTCTTGACTTAAAAAAAAAAAAAGTACTTGGGAATTACTGAAATAATAAGCACACACCGTATTATCACATTTCCTATTTCAGAGAAGAGGCATTAAGTATTCATGTCATTAGTTTATTTACAAACATCTAGTATGCTATGAATCCAAGAGTTTGATTCATTTTTCAGAGATTGCACCTCTTAAAACAGTCTTCGTATCTGCAAAATAAAAACAAAAATTAATGGCATCAGAAAATACCACTCATTTTATAGAAGTTGAGTAGTTATCATTAATATATTGTCCATCAGTCTGGTACATCAGAAAGCGTTTACAGTATCATGACTTCATTCATACTGATTTGCTTCATCATATGCACCAAAACTTTTTATATTAGTAATCTGGGTTAATTATTCCCCATCTAAAATTATAGACTTTCCTTTCTAAGGTATATTTTGAAATTTACACCCCACAGAGCTTCCCAAAATATTACTTTGGGAAACTCTATTCACAATTATGCTAAATAAATCTTTTATTCACACACAGGCAATCTGCAAACCTACAAATACATAAGACTTCTTTGTGCGAGTAGTAACACATATTCTGTTAATGAAACTTCTCAACCTTGGCACCAATGGCTTTTCACCTTAGAAAAATAAAAAATATCCCCTAGACACAGCAATATGCTCCACTGTGGTGCAAAATCATTCTCACTGGAGAATCATTGAACTTATTTCCTCAGGATGTAGGAACTGATTAGGCACAGATTTATCACTGCAAAAATATCTGGGAATGATACAAATTCAAGGAGTACTAGAAGCATTTTATCTCCTGGGTTTTTTTAATATATTAAATCAGCTTTGCAAGGCTAGATTTTAAGAAAAAGGAGTACAATGACCATTTTATAAAAGGAAATAAAGAGACATGTTCTAAGCCATTTATTTTAGTAAAAGTACTGGACAGAATATCATCAATCAGTTTTTAGAACTGTACCTGATTTAAAGCATAAGCTCTGGAATAAGACTGCCTGGGTAAAATTTCCAGATCACAGTCACTAGCTATGGAATCTTGGGCAACATGACATCTTTGTGTCTCAGATGAGGTTACTATCACCAACATAACAGGTTTGCTGGGGAACTGCATGAGATTATCCATATCAAGTGTATTCAATAAACACTGGCCACTATTTATCAAAGAAATATTTTTTATAGGCTTATGAACTTGCCTCCACTGATATGACACCTATACTTCAGGAATCAGTCCTACATAACAATGTATTTGTGTATGGGCTCTTTTTTTTTGGTGTGGGGAATGGGTACAGTATAAAACACAAAGGACTGCTTTAGGAAGATCAATAATCCATTAATTACCTGTTATGTGGATGAATTAGAACGTCCTTACTTCTTAAGCAGTTGGTGTCTTACTATGAAGAAAGGGGCAGCAAATCCTGATCCAAAGTATAAGGTCATCATAACCAGTAAGCGCCACTTGTTTTCCACTGAAAATGGCAAATTCTGTTGGGAAAGAAAACAAGCAACCAAAGTAAAACTGCAAATCATCTGATTTTATAGGTCAAAATGCACAAGGAATGAGAAGTGTGAGTGTGCACATGTAGTCTTACATAATCAGGTGTACAAGTTAACACCAAAAGGTAATAATACATACTTGGCTTTTCTGAACACCTAGCAGTCATCTTAGGGACTCAAGGGTAAAAGTCACATTTTTATTTAATAAAATTCTCTACAAACTAATTATTTCAGTAACAAAAAGCACTATTCTAGTTAACTGTTTATTACCAACCAGCCACCTGGTACACGGAAAACTCAACTGCACTACAAAGTTTGATTTTTTAATAACATGGCTATAACCTCTACATCCAGTCTCTGCCCTTTACTAGTAGGCCTCACGTAATCCTCCATGGTTGTCACTGCTAAGACACGACTTAAGCTCAATACACCTGAGACTAAAGCTAGTCTCAACCAGCGAGGGCAATTAGGTAAAGAAAACTTGTACAATACTCCAGGCCTTCATTCCTCATCACTTTCCAATGACCTTCACTCCGGGTCCCATGCCCTTCACAATTCGGCTTTAAGCCAGGGCACCTGCAGCGGCAGTCTTCCAGGCCTCCCAGATCTTGGCGGCAAAGGGGCCGCTGACTGGGGAGACCAGGCCAGCTTGCGCGCTCTGCCTGCCCTTTCCTTTCTGCAGCTACGCGCTTGGGTCCCAGCTTTCTCCAGGAGTTCCCAGCTTGCCATTTCCCTCTCCACAACTCTTAGGCAGTCCTGGAGCAAGCGAGTGGCAGCCAAGTATTCCCTCCACCAACGAAGCCGGGCCCTTACACACTAACCTTCCCGGGACCCTCCTCATAGTGGCTCCGACGGACGACCGAAGTGGTGAACCGCCGAATGCTCTGTCCCAACATGGCGCTGCTGGGGCCTCAGCGAAGAGCGCAAAGACCGCAGGCGGAAGAATAGCTTCACCTCGTCCGCTTCCCTCGACCTTGTTCCTCAGCGTGAAGAGAAGGAAAGGGAAGTTGGGAAATGGGGGCAGAGACTTCCGGAAACGGAAGAAAGCGGCGGGCTCCGAGGCTTATGGGAATTGTAGTTCAGTAGCACTCGGCGCCTTTTCGGCCTCGAAGGATTATGGGAAATGTGGTCTGGCGTGGGACTGCGGGAGTGAAATAACCTAGAGATTTCTTAACAATGATGATTCATTCAGACCTTAGCCCTTTATATGAGTTCAGATCTGGGATTCTTGGGGACCTTTTCCATAACCTATTTTATCGATTTAAGTGAATCACTTTCATCCAGTGTGTCCAGTTTATGGAACAGGACTGTACTTTTCTGTAAACCTATCGCTTCTTTGTGTATGTGAATGTGATCTGCAATACTTTGCCAACATTGAGAGTTGTGTAATATGATTTTACGTGGAGAAAGTAAGCATAAAAACAAGTAACTAAACAATGGATTACACAAAAGATGTTAGAAAGCTGAGTTAGAGCTCTAGGAGATGGTTTCCTGAGAATATAGGGAACTGAATATATGGAGAACAGAGAAATTTCAAGGCAATATGTCGCAAGTGTGGAAGAAAAAGGCATCCTCTGATATCTGGAGCTAGCCTAGAGCTCCCCTGGGCTAGGAATTAGTGTATTCCTGCTGACAATATGCAGTTTCATAGGACATCAGCATAAGATAAGACCACTTATTGGTGGATGGATCAAGGAAAGAATTAGTCCCCTGTGTAATCATTTGAACACAGATAAAACATAAATATTATCCAAGCCACTGTTAAACTGAAATAAGTTTTGTCTAAACCTGTCTCTGCATTTGGTGATAAAATTTAGCCCAAAGCAACCTCTGTACATAGTGTCCTATACCCTAGCTCAGTCGTGCAAATTGTAATCAGACAATAACATAGTTGTAATTCAGCCAGTAACAGCAATTTAACTTCAGCAAATCACAGGCTGCCAATTTATCAGACCATGACTCTATAAAGCAAGTGATGACCAGAGTCAATAGGGTTGTTTCTGTATGTCACTTTTCTCTGGCTGTAAAGATAACATGCACATGGTGGGGTGGAGCATTATGATTTGTCTTTGTTCTGGAAAGCTGTTGGTTTTACAAACTTTTCCAAGTAAACTTTGTTAAATTTAAACGTTGTCAGTTTTTCTTCTAATACCATATAAGTGACCAAACATCACCTTATCTGGTTTAATATGATGGCTTCTGCCTCTTAAGCAATTAAAGCCTTAATCTTGGTCTAATCTTTTTTCTTCCTAAGAAAGATTTAGAAAGACAGCCACTATCCTGGAAAGCAAACCCAAATTCTGTAAGACCTTTCTGACATTTTACTGAGAACTGTGAGACACATGATTCATCATGTAAGTTCTCCCTACTGCAATTTATAGTAAATACAATTTGTTCAATTTTAAGTGTGTTTCTGATACCACCAGTTATAGGTGATGAGTTCTGCTTCCTCACATGTTGAAGTTTGAACATTAGAAAAGAACACTGAAGCAAGCATATAAAGCAAGGTTTATTTTAAAAAGGGGTAACATAGATTTATTCTGGGAGGAAGAAAGGGGCCGTAGCTGGTATTCTGGTATCCCAAGAAGCTAGGTGTTCTGCCCTTTTCTATGTCCTAGGCTTCCTTTGTTCTCCTGCCCTCTTCCCCTATTTCTCTCCTTCCTGCTTATGATGGCCAAAAGGTGGGAAACATGGAGGTAGAAAAAGGAAGGGCAGGATGGAGCCGCCCAGGACACATTAATTTACAACTTTTTAGCTCCCTGTAGGAAGGGGCAATTCCTGGGACAGGTCATTTTAGCAACAGGTTGGAGCAAGGGCATGTTCTTGATAAATGTGCAGGAAGGACTCTGAAAGAATTAACATTCTAATCCTTCAGGGGACAATCTCCAACTAAATGTAAGAAATTGTACTTTTCTGAAGGGTCGCTGAAAATTCACAGAAGAGAGGTGCAGGGCACTCAGGTGCCAGATATGTGATTGAAGTAATCCTGGACCTTCCAGTCAAGGTTCTGGACCTTCCAACGGAGGTCTTGGACCTTACTCAGCCACCAGCTAAATCAATGATGTAAATGAATGCTATGTTAATCAGAGTTGAGCCTCCCAAACTGTTCATCTACAGATTAAAGTGGTTGTTCATTCAAGCCTTTAAGTTTATGGAGGGGAGAAAAGCTTGAATAAATATGGCAAATTTTTATTTTTAAATAATGTGGTAAATTAAAGATGACAACAATTTCCTTGTGATGCTTTCCATTGAATGGTGAAGTTTAACAGGCTTTTCTTGACTTTAGCAGCCAGATTGACCAAAAGAATGGAATAGAGTGACATTCTGATACTTCTGAAGCTAACTCATCAAAATCCTTGCAGCTTCCACTCATGCAACTTGGATGTTTTCTTAGGATAAATCAACATATGAGAAATCTAACTATTCCTAGACTTTCAGGACTAGGAAAATGTCCAAGTTAGCCATATAGAGAACCCACACAATGAGGAGGAGGTTCAGAGAAAGGGAGAGGAAGAGAGAAAGAGGAGTAGTGGGTGAAGGAAGAAAGATGTAGGAGAACGAGATGGAAAGGTATGTTCCATGAGCGCCTAGTGAGTATTGCTAGCTAAGTCCAGACATTAGAAGTACAAATAAAGAAGCCTTCAGGTGACTCTAGTTACAGTCTTATTTGCTTACAACTTTATGAAATGGGTTAAACAAAATGAGCCCATCAGCTCACAGAACTGTAAGATAAAAATAAATTGCTGACCACTAAGTTTTGGGGTAGTTTTTTTTTTTTTTTAATGCAGGAATAGAAACTTGCAACAGGTATCACACACTATTTCTTTCACAAGGATGTTAAAAATCTACATTCAGATCATAATAGCTGGCAAGAAAAATGGAAATCATTCTAGAGAAACTTTGGATTCAGCATGATAAACTTTTATTACAAATTGCATTTTAAGGGAAATGAAACATTTCATAAATTGATTGGTATAAAATGTAAAACACCTTTAAGTATAGAAGATTTACTCCAAAATTATATTTTAAAAATAAAATCTAATTATTTTAAGTAGTAACTAGGGTGTATGTCAGAGAATTAGCAATGTACTTTCTAGATTCACACAAGTCTTTGGAGATTGAAATTACATTATATAGAACAGCATAATTAAAAATTAAAATACAATATTTGTTATTTCTTTATATAGCTTCTATGTTAGATTTTTAAGGACTAGGTTCAAGCTTACTTAAAATAAATTGTTTAGTGAAGAAATTATGTTTCCAACCTACTTTGCAAAACTCAAATTAATGAATTCTTTTGATCTTGAGTTTATATAGCTTCTTGCTACTACAGCATTGAAATCAAAACTCTGTGTTAACATCTATTTGAAATTTTACATTTACAGGTAATGGACCTGGTTTCAGAAAAAAGAAAAATATGTGATTCACTGAGGAAGTTAGGACTGGGAATTGTTTTGCCACTTTTCTGAATGATTTCATGATGACCCACAGGAAGACAAAGTTGGGGGGGAAAGCTTACTTAATAATCTATGTATGTCACTCTTCATCTTGCTTTCTTTAAAAAATATCTTTCCCTTTTCTTATCTCCTGTTATATACTTCAAAACTCTATCCCCATGTTGCTTACTTTGAGAAGCCTTCCTAAAACACTTAAAAGAAATCAATTTGTTTTTCATTTAAGGTTAGCTACAATTTAATTTGTAATGCCACTCACAGTGGCAATCTCATGCACTATAATTAGTTGTGTATGTTGCCAGCTCCTTACTAGACCATATGCGAAAAAAAAAAAAAACAAACTATGTTTTAAGTATCTTTGCATCCTTTCACATAGTAGGTGCTCATTATAATTATGTAATAGAAGGAATGGATAAAGCACTATTGTACTCGTTATAAACTATCCTAGTGATTCTTCAGTCAAGTAGTTCCTGGTGCACATAGGTATTTTTTGCAGTGCCTCATTGTACCCTTAATTCTATTTCTACTCTTCAAATATATTAATGAAAATTAACATTATATGGTTTTTACCATAGACTTTACATGTAAGACCTCATTTAATCCTCATAATAATTCTATGAAGGAAGTCTCACTATCATTACCTTCATTTTATAAATAAGACTGATGAGATTCAATGAGTTTAAATAACTTGCTTGAGCCCCCAGAGATATCAACCAGAACACTGTGATTTAAACCAAATTCAATCTGATTTCAAAATCCCTGCTCAAAATCCTTCTACACAATTTCCTGATTGAGTTGATCAGTAGATATATTGATCACATTCTAGATGAAGGAGTGGGTGGAATTCAATTAAAACACGACTGAATATGGATTAAATTGTGTATGTGTATATAGGCTCTTTGTAACTTGCTGCTCCATCTACTGCTCCATGAGTCTGAATGGATCTTTCAGATGCAGGTGGAATCAGAGATGGACTATTCTCCAGATTCCAGACTCCTGAGTCCTTTGCATGGTTGGATGGTGGAAGGGCAGGCCAGTCAGCCAGGTCCAGTGATCTCTGAATCAGCAGAGCACTGAATTTGTGCTTCTACCATATCCTATCGTTTTATGGAAGATTCAAAGGCACTGCTTTTGGATTCATTAAACAAATACAACATAGGAAATGATTATTTCCTCTGATATTTTATCAGAGAAGTCAAACCTATCAGAGCTTGGGACTAGAGCTAAATTCAGTCTGCCTTTCTCAACATTGTCCTCTTAGCTCCTTGACTAGCATGACAGTGGATAATTTCTGGAGGAGGCTGTTGGGCTTTATCACCTTTAAGGTGATCCTTCACTGCTAGGAAGAGGTAAAGAACTCTTGGGTTCTTCTTAGGTTATTATTTTTATTTTAGAACATTTGGAAATAACTTTAAACTTATGAAAAAATAACACAAATAGAATTAGTACAAGTATGTGTGCTGTTTTTAACATTTTATTCCATTGTCTATTATTTACATTTACACTCTTCATATATTTTTTTCCTGAATGATTTAAGCATAACTTAAAT